GTAGATCGAGGGAAACCTGAGTGAGAGATCTCGAATGCCGCCGGCAGGGGGATCCCCCCCTCGGAAGGGGGTGCGAGGAAGCGGTGGCAAGGAAGCGAGGTGAACTTACCCAAATACCTAATACCTACCTATAAAACACAGGCATGTAAACAGCCGGGCCTGAATATGTTAGGAACACAAACACACACACACACACACACACACATTCACTCCTCCAAACTCTGCCAACTTTCAAACATTCGGTCCATGGCAAATCACAGTTTTTAACTGTATTTCGTTTTATTACTTAAAATGATGGTAATGATGTGAACAAATAATAATAACAACAAACAATATCCCCAGAGAGAAGCTGAGGAAGAACACACACACACACACACACACACACACACACACACACACCAAAAAAAAGAAGAGAGAAAAAAGGCATTTTTATTCCCAGGGTTGCGTTTTCTTCGCTTTTCTGACACTTCTCTCCCGCTTTTCGACGCTCACGGCCACAGAGAGAGAGAGTGTGAGTCCGGCTTCTAACTAGGGCTGGAGTGGAAATGATTTGATACTGGAAGAATAGAGCGAGAAGAGGCGGCGGCGGCGGCAGCCAGACAGAGGAGGCCGCCCGAAATGCGAAGCGGCAACTTTGGGCTGCTGTAAGCATAGCACCTTCGCGCTTGAGTAGGTCTTGCTCCTTAGTAAAGGACCCCTACTACGCGAAGAGCCGAGACAAACTGCCGGAGCCGCAAAAGGGGAAAGCCAGGCCTTCTCCCAGCTTGGAGACTCCTTTTCCCCTTCAGCTGGTCTCCGGCAACCAACCTAAAAGGTACAGAGGCAGAGATCTTCCTTGAAAACGGCAAGGCCCTTTAATTGATACCACACACACACACACACGAATTTAATCTATTTCTTTTCGGATAGGAAGAATCACAACCACAAAGGTAAGAGAAACCCTCCCTCCCTCCCTCCCTTCCTTCCTTCCTTCCCCTCCCTCCCTCTCTCTGCCAACTCTCTGGTTGCTTCAAATTTGGCAACGTTTTAATTAATGCAACATCTATGAATCAACATCTAATAATACAACGTACATGAATATTTCTTTTTTGACGTGAAGAATTGCGACGAGAAGGTTCTTCTTTCCTCTCTGCCCTGCCCTTCCCTTCCCTTCCCTTCCCTTCCCCTCCGCTTTCCTGATTCCATTTACCCAAGCTCTCTGGTTCTCCAATTTTGGCCCATTTCGGAATGGCGCTTTTGCGGGTGCCCGCGCGCGCGCTCCCGGCACCTAATCAAAACTATGGGCCCGCCAGCGCATTTATCATCCCATTACTGTAACAAATCCGGGCTCCCACTCCATGAAAGGTAAAATGAATTACCGACGTTAAGCCGTCAATAAAGTCATTTCTGTAAATGGTGTCTCCGAAGGACTGCAGCATTATTCAACCAGCCTTATCAGCAGCTGGGAAATTACGTGGCGAGGCGCGCAGCGTGTAATAGGGGCCCTGCTTACTTTGATTAAGCGCTGTGCCAGGGAATAGTGACAGTGCTTTTTGACCAGGTTTTATTCGCCGTCTTCTGATGAACGCCAAGCTGATCAGGCGGAATGAAGAGTAATTAAAACCTATAAATTATCTTTCGCAGTCCTTCTCAAGGCGTCTCTTTGCAGGCGAGATAAGGCGGCGGGCCCCTATTTACGGCTCTGAAAGGGACGGAGGCACACAAAGGCGACGCCGCTAAATGGGATATTGATAGTGTCCTAATTAGAATTTAATTAAGTACCCACGCTCGCTTTTGGGATAAAGATTTCATTTTTTTTGGGTCCTCCTCCCCTTCTTTTTTGCGAACTAAAATATAAAGCCCAATTTTTGAAAAAAAAAAGGGGGGGGGAGGGAAGAGGGGAAACTCAACGAGAGGAATGTGAATGGCCAGATGTTCAACAGTCGTTTAATTTTGGTGGGTGCGTGCGTGATGTGTTGATTCCCTTGCGCCACTTTAGTAAGGCTGATCTCTAAGAGTTGCTTTTTCAAGTTGGGCCTTCTGGGTGAAAAAAAAGCGCCGTTTAAAGCTTTCCTGCTTTTTTTTCTTCTTTTTTTTAGCAGACCCGAATGTAATTCATAAGAAACAAAGGCAATTCCTGGACACTTCCAGAAAAAAGGGGTGTTTCACGTTCAGGGACTGGCATCCCTCCTTTTGGCGGTGGTGGGGAAATCACGCAGGTATCCCATTTTAAACACGGGCTTTTTCGAAACGATCCGATTTGCCAGGCTTTAAAATCCAGCTTTAAAAGAAAAGGAAGAAGGAACCAGGGAGCAAAAGAGAGAGAGAGAGAGAGAGAGAGAGGACCCGACCCACGTGATGCCGAGTGGGGACTTCGCGTCCCTCCGCTTCTGGGAGTACAGGGTCGCGGTTTGTCGGTCCGCACTCTCAGAAATCCGAGGAGCACCTGTAACCGGCGTGGGCCCCAACGTGGCCTCCTCTCCAAAAACCCCCTCCTCAGTTGCCTTCCACTCAAAACGACCCTTGCGATATTTCGCGTCGCGGCAGCCTTAAGCGTGCATTTAACGCGTGTTTGTAAGAGAATGAGCGCGAGAGAGGAGGAGAAACCACTCCGAAAAGCCCCTATAATAGTAACAACCAACTCCAGAGCTACGGGGGGCTCTCCGAACCTTGAGGCGAAATTGCAGAAGGCCTAGTGTGCGTGGATGGTTGCTACTAGCCACGACTTTTGTGCAAGCGTTAATGTTGTGAGTGTGAGGGGAGCACACACACACACACACAAAACCATTTCCCTCTCGAGTGAACCCAGCAGCCGACCGCCGTTGGATTCTTGCCCTACCGGTTTGGCCTAAGAACCCCTTATCATTTTTTAACCCGACACAACTCGCTAGTCGCTTCTTCTCTGGCGTATCCACCTCTTCTTCGCGTGTGAAAACGCCGTGGGAGAAGAAGTTGCCCTTGTTCCACCACATTTTGGGAAGAAGGAAAGGGTTACCGGTGGTCTTCGGACTTAAGAGAAAGGTGTGGGTGTGCAAAAGCTCTAGCAAACCAGCCCAAATATACTCAGCTCCTTACGAATTCCAACGGCCGGAAGACAAACCCTTCGCTTTAAGACTCCAGGCTGGTGGAGACACCTGCCAAAGGAAGGAAGTTAGCACGACGTTCAAGATCCCACGGCAATTCCCTTTTCCAACCGGTGCACAGCTGGAAAGCGCAGGCTTGGGGGCTACTCAAGCTTAACTCCAAGTAGTCTTTTTCAAATTCGTTTGGACAAAAAAACCCAAAACTCATGGATCTCGGCTTTTTCAAGCGTATTTATTTCAAATAGGGGATACACCCCGAACGCAGACGCAAAGCCACAAAAGAGAGGTGCGGTAGAAATGGGGATTTCCCCCCCCCCCCGTTACTTCCCATTCTCAGCAAAATGTATTTTTATCGCCCGTTTATGGTCTGGTTTTGATTTAATTCAGAAAAAAGGATCCAAAATCCTTTCCTTTCGGCACGTTACATTTTTATTAATGGAAAACCAGGAATTCCTTTCCCAGGGTTCAGAACTGACTCTACAAAAAGAGAGAGAAAGACACACAGACTCACACACGTCTTAATAGAAGTCGGAAAAGTTTTCGGTAGCGTTTATTTCATATTTGGTTTCTGAGAGTTATGACTGGCTGAAAAAAAAAAAAAAATCCTCGGCCGGTGCGACCCAGGAACGAGGGAGCGCGGTCTAGGAAAGGATGCGCCCAGCAACGCGTAAATCTTCTCGCTCCCTTTGAATCCGCCAGCCCCTTGGCTAATGTCTCTGCAAAGTTCGAACGGAGCCCATTGGCTGACGTCAGGGGCGTCACAGAATTGTGGGGCCGCTCATTGGCTCTTTCCACGTGCGGGCCATCCTCACGTGCTTCCGGTTGGAATGAAAAAAAAGTGTGGTTGAGAGATTTTTTTAGGGAGAGTTTGTTGCAAGATCGGAGCTGTCAGAGATTTTCCTCTTTTTTCCCCCTCCTTTTTGCCCCCTTTTTTCTTTCTTTTCTTTTTTTCCCCTTTCTTTCTTTCTTTTTCCTTTTTCTTTTTTTTTTACACAAAAAAGAGGAACGTGGAGGAAAAGAGGGGAAGAAAAGGTGGGAGACAAATATGCACGTGCGAGTGGGCGATTAAAGAAAGCATCCTGCCAAGAACCGATCCGCGGGCAGAGCTGACTTTGACACTTGGGGTGTGGGGGGGGGGGCTTGGACCCCCACGCTTCGCCGGTTTGGGGCATGATGGGGAGAGTGTGAGGACTGTGGGGGGGGGGGGGCGGAGTTTTTTTGGGGGGGCTGGTTTTGTTTTGATCTCTCTCTCTCTCTCTCTGTCTCCCTCTTCCGAGAGGGGGAGAATGAGAGAGAGACAGAGAGAGAGAGAGAGAGAGAGGCTGAGGCTGGAAATATAAGATAACCGCAAAAAGAGCGAACCCGTCCAAATGCCCGAGTCTTTGGATATCTCTCTCTACTAGATTCCCGCTCTAAAACCAACAAGTGGATTTTATTGTGCGTTTCCCTCACCCACCCACCACAAACCCCCCCTCCTCCTCCCCGCTTTCCTCTTCACGAAATTCTCAGACTCTCAGAATCCCTCCACCTCCTGGACTGGTGGCGAGGTGGGGGAGTCCGGAAAGTGGTTTTTGGGGAGCCCCCTCCAGAGAAGACGGCGATCTCCGGAGCTGGCGACCGACGATGGAAGAGCAGGCGGACGCTACTAAAAGCCAGCGCGACTCGGCTCCGACCCCAGTCAGCGGGAGCAGCGGCAGCGGGAGCGATGGCGAGAGCGTCCCGGTGTCTCCCAGCGGCCACGCTCCCTTGTCTCCCGCCGCGCCTTGCCTCGTGCCTCTTCCCCATCACCCGCACCACCATCACCACCACCACCACCACCACCACCACCACGGCCACCATCCACACCAGCACCAGCACCAGGCGCCTCCGCTCCCCCCGCAGCAGCAGCAACAGCAGCAGCAGCAGCAGCAGCCGAGGCCGCCCCCACCGCCACCGCCACCGCCGCCGCCGCCGCCGCAGCACCGCACCACCAACTTTTTCATCGACAACATCCTGAGGCCGGACTTTGGCTGCAAGAAAGAGCACCTCTTGATCCTGGCCGGCGGCCCTGCGGCGTCCGGAGGAGGAGGAGGAGGAGGGGGAGGAGGAGGGGGAGGCAGCGGCGGCGCCGGAGGCGGCGGCGGCGGCGGCGGCGGCCGGGACAGAGACCTAGATCGCGCGGCCAGCTCAGGTAGAGAAAATGTCAGCCCACTGCTCGGCAGGCCCCTCAACCCGGCCTCCACTCTCCTTAGCGCCGACTCGCCCGGGAACCCCGACAGCTCCTCCACGGCCTCCAAAGCCAGCCCCGCCGCGGCGGCAGCAGCGGTAGGGACGGCCAAGCCCCCCTCCACTACCTCCTCCTCCACCTCCTCCACCTCTTCCACCTCCTCCTCCTCTTCCTCCTCCTCCTCCTCCTGCTCGGAAGGGAGTGGAACTAACCCGGCGAAGTACGGGGAGCCCGCCAACCCGGCCATCCTCCTCGTGGGCTCCGGGAATGGAGGAGTGGGGGCCTCCGGCGAGGGTCAACAGCCGCTGGTTTGGCCGGCCTGGGTTTACTGCACTAGGTATTCAGACAGACCGTCCTCGGGTAAGAATCCTCTTGAGAACCCAACCCGCCCCCCCCGCCCGCCTTCCCCTTCCTCCCCCCCCTCTCTCC